CACGTGGGAAAGTATCCGCGCCGCACGCGCGTCGCGGCGACGCGCAAGCAGCTTTGTGCAGCTGGCGCTAAAAAATGCGCGCTAGGCGGCCGGTTTCTCCGCGCGCTTGTGTTTCTTTACGTGCTGCTTCACTTTGATTTTTTCAGTCAGCGCGTAGTCCGAGCGCGGACTCAGGCTGAGCTGCTGCGTTTTCGCGCTCATCCAGCGGCCGAAGCGGAAGTTCAGCGTCGTCAACGCGGCGGCGAGCACGACCAGGTAGCCTGCGAACCCGGCGAGCCCGTACAGCAGCACGAACGCCTTGTTTGCGAAGCGCCCCGCGCGCGGCAGCGTCGCGTCCTCGTCGCGCGCCAGGCGCGCGCGCACGTCCGCGGGCGTCGGCAGCGCCGCACGGTAGCCGATTTTCTCAAGGCCCTCCACGGGCTTGGTCGTGCGCTTCTTCGCGTAGGAGTGCAGCACGGCGCCCGACTTGCCGTCGACTAGCTCCACGGTCATCGCCTGCTTGCTCAGCCGGAAGCGGCAGTAGCCGACATGCCCAGCGTAGGCCACGCTGCCGCTCGCGCTCTTCAACTTCCCGGCCTTCGCAGCGGCACCGCTGCCGCACACCACGTGCGTCAGGTCGCCGTCCTCGATGATTTCGAGGTTCTTGCTGCGGCCGCTGATGTACGCGTCCACGTGGTTCTCGCGCAGCAGCGGGCGCAGCCAGCTGCCCAAGTAGCTGCTCGCCTCGCGCGAGCCGCTGCTCACCAGCTCGGCGTCGCCGACGACGAAGACCCAGTTGTAGCCGCGCGCGCCGTTGCGCACCGCGCTCTTCACGTACGCGAGCTGGTCTTCGGCGATCGAAGGCACTTCGAAGCCGGGGTGCAGGCTGTGTGTGTCCAGGAAAATGAACAAGACCGACACTTCCGGCGCGGCCTTGAGCACGCTCGAGGCGCCGACGTCCGCGAACGTCGTGCGATAGTCGTAGAACAGGTTTTTCATGCTCCACTTCAGCCCTTTCGCCGAGGCGAGCGGCGCGGCGTACATGCGCGCAGTGAACGCGAGCATGCTCGCGACGCTCTCACGGCCCTCGCTCCAGTCCGCCTCGCCGGCAACCGGGAACAGGGGAAAGTTCAGCTCCTCGCCCGCGTACGGCTCCAAAAACTCCGTCTGCCACCTTGGGTCGTCAAGTCCTTGTAACGGCTTGCTGAACGAGGAGCCCGGCGAGACGGCCAGCGCAAACGGTGTGCTCTTCGCGTCGAGCTTCAAAGTCGAAGCCACGGCGCTTTGGTGTTCGCCGCCAAAGTTGCCGAGCGCAACGAAGTTGAACTCTGCGCGGCTGACGGAGAACCGCGTCAACAGACTCAGAAGCGATAAAGCGAACATAATAATGCGGTGCACCTCCAGCTGCACCCGCCGCGGCGTGGCGCGTCAGTGCTCCTCGCTGACTAAGTTCCGCAGGTACAATAGAGTTTTGGCCAGCAAGGTCCACTTCAGCAGACTCTCGTTGCGCAGCTCGCGCTGCGCGCGCGCCGCGTCGGCGCTCGCGAGCTGCGCGTGTGCGGCGTGGAAGCGCGGCAGCTCGCCGCTGCGCAGCACCAGGCCGACCGCCTCGCTGCCCGCGCGCAGCCCGCGGTGGAAGTTCGCCTGCGTCTTGATCAGAAAGCGCACGCCCGCGGCCTTCGCCGCGCGCAGCAGCAGCGGGTACTCGCGCTTGTGCACGAACGTGCAGTCCGCCGGCAGGAACTTCGCGGGCGCACTGTAGAAGACGGCGCCGCTCGCGAGCAGCGCGTCGAAGTCCTGCGCGTTGCTCTCGCGCGAGCTCGCGAGCCGATAGAGACAGACGTCCGTCGCGACGCGCTGCCGCAGCTGCCGCACGGTTTTCACGTGCGAGCCCGGCGCGGCGACGCGCCCGAGATGCGCGAGCTCGCGCGCCGTGTAGAGCCGCTCGACGGCGTCGCGGCTGTACACGCGCTGGCCCTTGAACGTCGCGAGCGGCTTGGCGCGCGCGACGTCGAGGAACTCATTGGGCTTCAGCGTGGCCGGCAGAACGTAGAGCGGATGCGCTTTGAAGCCGGCCAGTGAGCTCGGGATCCCGTGCCCGTGGCGCTCCGCCTGCGCGAGCGCGGTGCGGTCGCATGCCACGCGGAAGAGCTGCCGCTGCGCCGCGGCTTCGTCGCGCGGCGCGCGCTCCGCGTCCGCCACGGGCGCGAGCAGTGCAGGTGCGAGCAGTTCGCGCGCGGCGCCGACGTACAGCTTCTGCAGCGCGCTGCTTTTGCGCACGTAGCGCGCGGTGCTCACGAAGAGCGGCCCGGCGCAGCTGCTCGACAACGCGAAGGCGAGCTCCGCCGCAGCCTCCGGCGCAAACGCGTTCTTGCAGCTGTGCGCCGCGCGCACCGAAGCCGCCGCGTCGTACGCGCGGTTCAGCTGCCAGTGGTACCTGCGCGCGGCCTCGCGCACGGCGGCGCTCGGCGGCGCGCACAGCGGCGCTCGGCGGCACTCGGTGGCGCGGTGTGCGGTGCGCTCGGTGGCGCGGTGTGCGGTGCGCTCGGTGGCGCGCTCTACGGTGCGCTCTACGGTGCGCTCGGAGTCGAGTTCCAAGTCGAAGTCGGAGTTGGAGTCGAGGTCCGCTGCTGCGAACAGACCCGCGCCGCCCGCAGCCGCCGCAGGCGCCTGCGCGCGCGCGGCCGCGCCGCAACCCGCAGCGAGCCGCAGACAGTCCGCAGGCACGCGTGCCAGCAGTTTCTCGAGGTACAGCGCGACGTACTCGGCGCCGAGCTCGAAAGCTTTGAGGTCCGCCGGCAGCCGCGCGGCCGGTAGCTGCCCGAAGTTGAACCGCGGCCGGTAGAACTCGAACGCGACCCAGTGCGCGATCTGCTCCCAGTACACTTCCAGCGAGAGCAGCGGCAGCGTAGGCGAGTCGGCGCGCGCGCTCTCGAACAGCGGCTGCTCAGCGCCCCGCGCGCCGCGCTCGAGGTCGCGAGTTAGCAGCGATACACACAGGTTGAACTGCAGTCCGCAGGCCTTCGCCAACAGCGCGCCCGCGAGCGTCGCCGCAAACGCAGATATTTCGCCCGTGCGCGCCGCGAGGTACAGCTCGAAAAACAGCGTAGAGAAAAACGTGCTCCGCCCGCGCGGAGCCTTCAGCGTCGCAGCCAAGTGTTGCGCGTTGGACACGAAGTAGTTGCTGAAGCTGTGGACGCTGAAGCGCTGCGCGACGAAGTGGAACAAGTGCAGCGGGTTGCTCGGAACTGCGTGCGCGGAAGGGCTGGCGTTGGCCAGCCGGTTGAAAAACAGCAGCCGCAGAAGCGAGGCGCGGTCGCAGAAGCGTTGCAGCGCGCGCGCAAAGAGCGCGGCGCAGACCAACGCGCCGCGCTCGCACTGCGGCTTCGCGGGCATCCGACGCTCTTCCTCGCCGCGCGCGCTAATATTTCAAAAATATTTCGCCCATGTCCGAGAGCAGCGCGCCACTCCAGCAGTCCGACGCGACGCCGCGCACGCAGCTCGCCGCCGCCGCGGCCGAGCCAGCCGCCCGCTTTGCGCACCGCGGCGACTTCAGCCTGGAGCTCGCGCGCGAACTCGGCGCGAGCTGGCGCGGGCGCCTGCTTGCCAAGCGCCGCGAGCTCGGCGCGGAGCGCGCGCAGAAGGCGCAGCGCGCGAAGGCCGCGAACTTGAAGAAGTCGCACTCGCGCGAACTCGCGCACTGCGCGGAACCTGCGTTCGGCGCGGCCGAAGCTGCGCTTGCGCGCAAGGCGCTCAGCGGCTACTTCAAATTCTTCCGCAGCGCGTAGCGCGCGCCGCGGTGCGCGCGCTGTGTAAATCGGTGTGCATTTTTTACTAAATCAAATGTGTAGTGCGGAAGAGCAGCGTTTGTGCGAGCGCTGCAAAAACTGTGAATGCCGTAAAGCGCCCGGTGCCCCGCCGGGCCCGCCGGGCTCGGGCAAGAAGCTGTACGTTGGCGGCGCGGCGGCGTAGCAAAAAACAAATTTTTCCGGTAGAGGTGCAGGCTGAACTGGAGGCGAAGTTGCAAAGTAGACCTTAGCGACGGCGCGGCCGCCGGCGCGGCGCCGACGTGGAGGCCGCGCATATTTCGGCGAGAATTTAGTAAAATACATTGTTTTGACTTCGCGATGGCACTCGACAGACCGAACGACGTCGCTGCCGCGGCGCGCCCGCGCGAGTGGCTGCTCGACTGCCAGTACGAGTCGCATCCAAACTTCAACCCGAGCATGCTGAAGGTGGGTACCAGCGCGCCGCACGCAGAAAATCAAAGAGTACTACATTAACCAGGAAGCCTCCTTTTGGACCGCCGAGGAAATTGACCTGTCTGCCGACTTGGACGACTGGGACGCGCTGAAGGACGGTGAGCGGCACTTCATCAAGCACGTGCTCGCGTTTTTCGCGGCGAGCGACGGCATCGTGCTCGAGAATCTCGCCAGCCGCTTTTTGGTCGAAATGCAGCTGCCCGCTGTCCGCGAGTTTTACGCGTTCCAGGTTGCGATGGAAAACATCCACTCGGAGACGTACAGCTTGCTGATCGACACCTACCTCGCGCAGCAGGCCGACGAAAAGCTGCGGTTGCTGCGCGCAATCGAGCACGTGCCGGCGGTCAAACGCAAGGCGGAGTGGGCGGTCAAGTGGATCACAGGCTCGAACTCGCTCGCGGAACGCCTGCTCGCGTTTTGCGCGGTCGAAGGCATCTTGTTCAGCGGCTCGTTTTGCGCGATCTTCTGGCTCAAGAAGCGCGGCCTGCTGCCCGGGCTCAGTTTCAGCAACGAACTGATCTCGCGCGACGAAGGCATGCACACAGAGTTCGGCGCGTTGCTCTACAACTGTTTGCAGGACCGCTTGCCGCAAGAACAGGCCTACGCGATCGTCTGCGAGGCGCTCGACGTAGAGCGCCACTTCATCACCGAGGCGCTGCCGGCCGGGCTGATCGGCATGAACGCAGACTTGATGGTGCAGTACCTGGAGTGCGTTACCGACCGGCTGCTCACCTCCGTGGGCTACGAGCCGTTCTACGGCTCGCAAAACCCGTTCAGCTGGATGGAGATGATTAGCTTGCAGGGCAAAACGAACTTTTTCGAAAAGCGCGTCGGAGACTACCAAACTGCCGGCGCGAAGTCGGAAAACCTGGACGCCAGTTTCGCAACCGACTGCGAATTTTAAATCGGAATCCAGTTCTCTTCCTGCACTATATAGTTGTTCACATTTCCCACGAGCACTGCCTCCATCAGCGCTACGTAATATGCGCAGTCGAGCGCGCCATTCGAGCCTTCGCCCAGCAGGCTGTCGAACCTGTAGAGCGGCTGCAGCTTGACCTGTCGGAGCGCGGAGTCGTAGAACACAAAGTGCGGCAGCGGACAAATGTAACAGCTGGAGCCCAGGTGGCAGTCTTCGCTGTGCCGCTTGTAACACGTCGAGCACACGCTGAAGCCGCACAGCAAACAGAAGAAGTAAATCTTGTTCGCGCAGTGACAGCTGCAGCAGATGCAGTCGCTCAGCAAGCGAATCAGCTCGAAGAAGCGCGTGGGCGGCGCGCGGCGCAGATTGAACCTGACGCTTAGCCGCGCGCCGTGGTTCGCAACCGCTTCGGCGCGCGCACAGTGCCGCTGGTCGATGAACGGCGGGAATACGTTCAGGCTGAGCAGTTCGTCGAGCTGCTGCGACGCGGGGTTCGCCAGGAGTTGCGCGTGGTACGGCTTGCCGAGTTTGTTAAGCGCAGCCACAAATGCCGGCGCGCGGAGCAGCGCTGCGCAGTTGTGCGACTCGCCGACTTCGCAGTCAAACACGAGCTTCAGCAGAAACACGAGAGCGCGCCCGCGGTCTGGCTCGCGCGCATACTGCAGCGCAGTCGCGCACTCCGGCGCCGCGGGCCACACCGCCGCCACGAGCTGCAATGCGAAGTTCGCGAAGTCTTGGAAGAAGTGCAGAAACAACGGCAACACCGCGTCTTTGCCGACCGGCACGAGCGAGTCGTAACTGATGCGCTGGCTCGCAGCGCTAGGAGACGGGCCCGCGCGCGAACAAAGGTGCAAGCGCTTGCCCGAGTTCTCGCCCGCGTGTGGAGAGTAGCACTCGGCGTCGACAATGTGCTCCCAGAAGTGGCTCAGGAACTGCGCCGCGTCTGCGCACGGCTTTTCGAAGAAGCTGACTCCTTGCTTCAGGTCGAACAAAGTCTCGAACTGCGGCAAGAAGTTCGAAAGCCAAGAGTCTGCGTATTCGTCGCTCCGCACTCTGCGAACCATGAACTGCTCACTGCACGCTTGCGCGAGGTCCAGCAGAATTTTTTCTATGCTGCTGTCCGGCCAGGCGGGGTGCGAACGGCCGTCACTCCGTTCCGAGAGCTCGCTAAGCGACGTCTTGAAAGCAAAGTCGTTTCGCACGTGCTTGCGGTAGCGCAACAAGATGTCCGACAGTCGGCTGGCGAACAGTGGACTGCTCCACGCCTCGGCGAGCTCGTTTTCTTCTTCAACGCGAGAACAGTCCGACGCGTCTGAAATGCTTCGCTTCACTGCCTGCGGCTGCGCCAGCTGTTTCTCTGCATTGTTGCCGCGACCCAGTTTCAAAAAAGCTTGGATTTTGCTGTGCGCGAGTTTCCATAACGGTACGGAAGACCGCGGTGTGGAAGCGGAAGACAGCACCGACGGTTGCGCTGCCGGCGCTCTGTTGCACCGCTGTTTTCGCAATACAGCCCAGTGCGCGAAGTTCCACATACTTTGAATGCACTCGCTGCTGAGCGGAGACAACAAGTCGCTGTGGGCCTGCACAACCAAGAAACAGTCGCTGAGCAAACGCTCCACGTAAGTGCCGCCCAGGTGGAGACTCTGCTGCGCCGGCTGAGCAAGGCCGCACATGTAGGCTGTGTTGAACAACAAAACGGCGGCGAAGTCTCGCAACAATTCGAAGGCGTCGTCCAGCGTGCAGCCCTTTTGCAACAAACTGGTGAACAATAACAAGAAACGCGTATAAGGCTCGTTGAAGCAGCTGTTGTCCCCGATCATGACGCTGAGCAGATTCGCGCTGCAGAACGCGGCTGTGTCGGGCGGCAAGCTTTTCACGCAGTTGCGCAGAGCTGCGCCGGCGAAAGCCACCTCAAGGTTCTCAAACGCTGCGCTCGCACTGAGGTTCAGATTGCATCTCGAAAGTTGCAAGAACTTCAAAACCGTCACGTAAAAGAATGGCTGCAACGTGCGCAGTTCTGAAAACGCAGCCGCTTCGGCGTCATCTGCTCGTCGCTTCGGCGTTAGCGGGCTGCGCGAGAAGGTCACGGATAAGCCGTTGTAGTAGTCAATTGGACCTAAGTTGTCGGAATCGTCGCACTCGCAGCTGTATTCAGGCTTCATAAAAGCGAGGTTCACGAGGTTCACAGCCAGTTCCTGGAAAAACGTGTGCAAAGAAGCAGAAACCAGCGGGTCAATGCGCGGCCCGCTGCCGTTCTGGCCGCTGAGCGAAGCGGACTGATCGCGCTGGCTCAATTCGCTCACAGAACCGACTCTCGGCGAAGCAACGTTTTCCGTTGCTGCGGACGAATCGCGCAGCGAAGAGGTTGTCGGCTCGCCGCTACCGGAGTTTGCAGCAGCACCAGCCGCAGTGGACGAAGCAGTTCTCGTAACGGTTTGAATTCGACTGAGGTTTTGCGCCAAATACTGCAAAGCGCTATAAAGCGTGTTTGTGCCGTTGCCAGATGCGCCGCGCTGATTACTCGTCTGTGGAGAATCGCGCAAAACGTGCGTCTCCATGTGTTGTAAACCGTTGCGAGAAAGCTCTCCGGGGGCACTCGCGTTTTGCGGAACAACGCCGCTCAGAAAAACAACCGGAGCGTTACCGCTGAGATTGTCGAGCCCGCTGATTTGCGCTGCTCGAGAGGTTTGGCTCTCGTTGGCATTGGTATCGGGCTGAACGTCGATGTCCGCATCGATGATTAGCTCAGAGCTCGCGTCGCGTGCCTGTTGACTAACGTTGCGCCGCTCCATCACACGGTCCGCAGCAACAACTGCATGAGTATTTGTCTGATGTGCGGCGGCACCAGCTTGAATTTCTGCAACCGCATCGCGCGCAGCAGCGTCGCTGCCAGATATCTGGAAAGGTATGATTGTGACAACGTGGTGATACTGAGAGTGGTCTCCGGCCAAGTCCTGCGCTAAGGCAGAGTACCGCAGTGAACGCGCGTCTGGGTTTCGAGAGAACTGAAAACTGAGAATCGGAGTTTCCATAGGTGAACCTGGCTGCATGTTGCTCGCAGTTTGCGCTGAGGACTCGTGGTCCTGTGGGACGTCTTGCACTGCAGGCCTTCTTTGTTCGTAGTGAAGCGTGTAGGGCACGCCAGGTTTCGCCACGCGGTCAATCATAATGGTCCTGAATTTATGAA